TTACAAAGTGATGTTGAACTGAAACAAAGTCAGCAGCTTTTAGAGAAGACAACTGAACAGAATCATGTGAAAAGAAAGTGACACCCAACATAGTCAATACCTTGCTAAACCCACCTAAAATGGGTAAGATAAAAGGTTAACTGAGTGGGCTTCCTGATTTAAAGCCTATCACTAGCTTAAAAATACATAAAAAAAAAAAGAATAAAAAAAGCTTATTGTGTATCATATATACAAATCCAATGCAATGTCCCCGGGCAGACCAGGGCAGCGTCGCTAGCCCGCGGGAGGACCAGGGCAGCGTTGCTAGCCCACGGGAGGACCAGGGCACCATTATTTGCTCACAGATTGACAAAATGACTATTACATGCATTTAGAATAGGAAAAAAATATATATAATGCACATCATTGTTATATGTCATTTTGCAATATATTGTTATTAAAGGAGAACTATGGGGTTAGGGCTTTTCCCCATAGTTCTCCTAAGGGTAACGGGAGGACACAAATTAGCGTCCTCCCTTCTCCCAAAGCTCAGTATACCGCGAGTATTCTCAGTATACTGAGACGCCGCAGCTGAAACGGAACCCGACAATTATGTCTGGATCCACCCAGCTGCGAGGCAGAGCCAGCTGTACCCGCCCCCTCCCGTTCCACCAGTCAGCACAGGAGGATCAGACAGGGGTGGGGGGAAATCCAGTCCCTCCCCTGTCACAGCTCTCTGCAGTGACAGGATCGAGAAGTGAGCGCCGATATGTGTTCGCTCACTTCCCTATCTGCTGAGCCGACCTGTGACAGTCTCATTGTCACAGGTCGGCTAGAACTATGAGGTGAGTGAAAATCACTCACCTCATAGTTGTTTAAAAAAAAAAGATTGCCAACATTTTTCAACATACTGACTGTTGAAAATAAAAGAAAGGAGTTGTTCCATGCTGAAGAAAGAAGTATGAGAAAATCCTAAACACCAATGCTCTCCAAACAGGGTAACCAATAAAGGTCAATGGGATTCATAAAGCATTCAAAGCAACTGGCAGTGTGACTACTGTCAAAGTGTACATGGGGCTTTTGGGTCTGTTCACAATATCTCATACTGTAGTAGTGAGCAGAGTGCAAGCGTTACAAAAAAACGCCTGCCAAGGTCCCTCATTTGAAGCCTACGGAGACTTATCCTAACAAATATAAACCTGCAGTTCTTTTTACACATAAATATAAAATGCAGAGTTCAGCTATGACTAACGCCCTGTCACTACATAAATATAAACCAGTATCCTTGAAGCATAAACTCCCTATTAAAAACAGCTACTGAGGCATAAAGAAATAAGCCTCTGAACACACTTCCTGTTTATCCAATAAAGAACCAACATTCACTCAGACCATGTCTACAGCAGTATTGGACATTAGTGCGTCTACAGCTTCTTAAAGAGGATCTGAACTGCAGAAACATTGCCAAAAAAAAAAAGTCAGGCAGACTAGTTACAGGTATTGCCGATGGTCTCCCTGCAGCTGATCTTTTACCATTATTGACTTGCCATGACTTGTTTTACATTGCGTCTTTATGTGAGGACGATTAACCAAAAAAGTCACTCACACTCCAATGTAGCGTCCAGTCAATCTATTTATTGACTAAATGGTGCAGCATTTCCATGCAACGTTTCGGAACCAAAAGGTCCCGTCATCAGGCAAACAGAAAGAGAAGGGACCTTTTGGTTCCGAAACGTTGCATGAAAATGCTGCACCAGTTAGTCAATACATATATTGACTGGACGCTACATTGGAGTGCGAGTGATTTTTTTGGATCATTATTATATCCGGAGGCGTCCGCTGTCACTGCCGCACCCACCCTGTGTATGGGGAACTCTTTTCCATTCAGAAATGCGATGGGACCTTTTGGATTTTGATTTATGTGAGGACGGCCATCTTGGTTGAGGCAGGGCTTTGCTTCTTCGTGTCAGATCCTCCGGCAAACAAACAGCGGGCAGCACAACACTGACATCACCAAATCTCATTACAAATTCCCTGAGCCTAGTAATCACAAGCTGAAGTGTCTTTGATCTCACATTGCAGATATAAGTCTTTGAGGCCGTAGGCACTGGCCTACCTAGGCACATTCATACAAGGAAGTGCAATTATATTTTTCAAGAGGCATTGCAGACAAGCACGTACATTTTTCAGAGTATTGCTTAGACATAATAACTTTAACTGTAAGCTTTAACATCATAAACCTTCACTTTTTGAGTTTAGGTTCACTTTAAAAACTAAATGTTCCAGCAAGTTCTCTCAAGCAGTGTTTTATTTCAATTGTATTTCAACTGTTGCAGCCAACTTGGAATAAGGCCTATTTTATATTTGTTACATGTTCTCATTCACATAGCATACCTTTTTTTAATTTCAGTTTACCTTTTCAGATGCTCTTTCTGCAAACTCTAAGAACTGAAAAATCCTGCTTAGTTCTCAATGTCTGAGAGGGCTGGGGTGAGGGGTTTGTTTTAAATAAATAACCATATCTGTACTGTGCTGGCATTATCAATTGTAAGCTTGATTAGCAGGATTGTCTGTCCTAACAAAGGGTTAAAGATCTCAGGCATTATATGTTAAAGAGCTTTAAAAAAAACTGTCCCTAAGTCTACACACTCCCACCCATTTTAACCAGAAGAAATAGCCTGTGGTGTCCTATGTATAATCCTGCTCCAAACAAACAGATGAAAAAAGTGAAAAAAAATTACTGTATTTGCTGGCGTATGACTACTTTTTATACTTAAAAACATCCCCTGAAAATAGGGGTCGTCTTATACGCCGGGTATACAATGTATACCTTTAGTTCGTTTGGGCCAAGGTGGCCCAAAACGAACATCCCTAATCTGTCAGCCCGCTGGATGTGCGGTAATACTGTATGTGCGATAGCTTCGGCTACATACAGTAGCTGAGTCAATCACGGCGAGCGATGTACACAACCTCTGGCAATCCAAGCAGGCTTTGTATTCATTAATAGAATACATTGCTCGCCGTGATTGGCTCAGCGCGGTATACTGTATGTAGCTGAAGCTACCGTACATACAGTATTTTTTTAAATGGTGTTGCCTCTGAAGTGAGGTAGTCTTATATGACGAGTATAGCCCAAAACCTACGTTTTAAGTGGAAAAGTAGGGGGTCGTCTTATACACCCAGTTGCCTTATACGCCGGCAAATACAGGTAATTTGTTTTAAAGTCAGTAATTTTTAGGTATGCTGTGTAAATGGGAACACATAACAAACATAGTGGGGTTTCTACAATTTGGCTGAGAACATGAAATACACTTTAAGCCTTTAAAGCACTAGTAAAAGTATGGGGGCTATTCAGAAAAGAGTGAAGAGTTTGGAGAAGGCCGGAGAAGGGAACAATCTAGGATAACATAGCTGATTTGGAAACATTCTCCAATTCAGCTCACTTTCCAGTTCAGCTATGTTGTCCCACATTGTTCACTGCTCCTGCCTTCTCCAAACTCCTCACCTTTTTGTGACTAACCCGGTCTGAATTCAACTATCCACATCACATTTAATATTTTTGAGCCCACAATGGAACCTTTCTATAATTTAACAGGGAAACAAGATGGTATATATATGGCTAATACCTAAATGTACAAGCCCGATTTTCTATGGCATAAATTGGCAGCTCTGGATAATGGGTCTTCAAGGTTGAAGGAGCAACATATTGAAAAATATCAAGTAGACCTGAATTGTTCAAAGTCATTACAAATTCTGTCTGGCTTCTGTTCTGCAAATACAGAGATCGTCCATTTTGCTAATTTGCTCAAAATGAATGCCGAGTGGGATAGTCTGCCTGTCATTATCACTTGCATTTCCAGTGCCTCTGTATATGTATGGGCAACATATCAAAAGATAACAAGACAGATACTTGCAGGATTATTCACAAAAGGGTGAAGAGTTTGGAGAAGGCCGGAGAAGTGACCAATCTAGGACAACATAGCTGATTTGGAATAATTCTCCAATTCACCTCGCTTCCCAGTTCAGCTATGTTATCCTAGATTGTTCACTTCTCCTGCCTTCTCCAAACTCTTCACCCCTTAGTGAATAACCCCTGTGGGATGGCTGAAAATGATCACATTGCCTGCAGACTTCTAGGAAGAGGACTGAGCTGAACACAAAAAGCAGAAATGAAACTTCCCAAGGGAATAAGGTGCATAGACTCAGCACAGAACACCTTGTTGTGATAGCTGCAGGGTAACAAAAATTTTAATACAAGGCTGCTGAACGGATACTTCCTATAGCCTGTGCTATGCAACTTCTTCTATAACATTAAAACTTACAGGTTGGAATCAAACTGGTAGCTAGGTGGAACTTCCTGGCTCTAATATCTTCAAGGTTGTCAGTGATACTCTTCTTCATACATCAAAGAAAATTAAATGTGTATGCTTTTCCTCCCACACCCAAATTTCATTCCACAATGTCCAGCTGAGTTTTCGGAAAGATCTGGTCTATAGGGAGGAATGATCATTAAAAGAATAACTCCATCTTTTTATCAGGGTAACCTAAAACATGACCACATAAAACAAGCCCACCACCAACAAACCGACCCCCACACCCACACACACTTTATCAAGATACTGGGGTCCTTCTCCCGGCAGGATCTTGCATATATTTAATTTGTCTGCCACCGCAGCAGAGGGACTTATTATTCTCAATGGAGTGCAAGTGTGGTAACGTTAATGTACTGGTAGTCCATTCATACTTCCTACTGTAAATGAAAGTCCATAACTCTGTACATACAGAGACTGGAGGAACACTCTGCAGGAGCCAAATCATTGCACCTGCAATCCACCGATCACAACTGCAATCCTTTGCAGGATCCAATGTCCAAAAATAAATAAATAAATGTCCCATAATAGCAAATTTTTTTCTTTTAATAACCTATGTGCATGTATTGATTTTTTGCATGGATGGACTTTGCCTTTACAGCCACACGCTGCTTAGAATCATCAGGTGCACCAGTTCTTTAAAACTAAGCTTACCTGTAATGCACTGAAACTGGCCATCTTCTCTTCTTATTGTAAAAGCTTCTCCTGGGTTCACTTGGACCAGAATAACCTATGTAAAAGATGGATGCAGGAGTAAGTTATCATTTCTAGATTTTTCATAAAAAACACATACATACAGTATATAACAGCCACAAAATGCAATCTTATCAAACTGTAAATGGCTTTTGCACACGGATAACTATGTTCATCTCTACAGACGTATTTTAACCCTAGGGCAAGTCTTTTTGTTCTGTGTGGGGTGTTTTTTCCTTAATACTGTATTAATCCTTGCATATCAGCACAGTTGATTTCCTGCAGCTTCTTTGCACCCGTTAGGCCTCATTCACACCAAAACTGCATTGGAAATGCATGCGTTTCAGCCATTGCATTGCGATGCTTTTTGCTTCTTCCTGTCACAGCACTTTCCTCCTTAATTTCCTAGCTCAGACATGCTTCCTTTGTTTGAAGGCATGGTGTCAGTGTTGGCTATAGCCATTCTCACCCAACGTAGGAGGTTATTATAATATAATGATAATGACGTCGTTATTGGGTGCACCCCTTGCTGACGGTCAGAGCTATTTGATTATTAGATTAGCATTCATGTCTGCCATGTTTCCAGAGCTGTTCCATTCCTAATCTCTTCTACCAACTCACAGGAAGTCCCCAGAAGATGACATTACTAAATCTGTGGGTTCTTATTTTTTAGTTCCGTTTTAGATGCATTTTGATGCATTCAGTCGCGTTTCGATGCTGCTAAAATAGTGCAAGCAGTACTTTTTCTGGCTGCATAGGAAAGGACTAGTCTGGTGTGAACAGAACAACAGAATCCCATTGGAAATCATTATGCTCTTTTTTGATGCAGCTCAAAAATGCAATGGACTGCATCTGGTGTGAATGGGCCCTTACGGTCTACATGCATGAACTCCGGCAACTTCTACACATCATTTCTCGGGTGGCCTTCCCGATGGTGCAAAAGTAGACTCTGCCTGTGCAATGTGCGTCATATTAACTGATTGCTGAACACACGCGGTTTTGGATGCTACAGATAATGGGCCAGCGCACACTGTATGTTGCTCTGCACAATATTAGTCTGGACTGCCGCACTCTGTACGCTAGGTACCCCAAACTAATGCACTTTGTACGCTATACTATACATTGGATTTCACAGACCACTAAGCTTTATGCAAAGCATTGTACATTCATATTTCTAGAAATATATTTTTTTCCTTTTATGATTTTATCCTGTTCAACAAAATTGCACAAATTTTGACAGAAATAGTTGCACACCGCTATTCTCCTGTCCAAAACTGTAATCCAAAAACTGAAAACATTCAGATTAACATTTGCATGTTTTCAGTTTTTTGATTGTTGGAAAACCCAATAAAACCTTTTCTGATAAAAACTGTAATCCATAAAACTTCCAGCATGGCAGGACTGTGAGATAGGGACCTTAGACTGTAAGTTCCTTGAGGACAGAGACTGGTGGATATGTGCGCTGTGTAAAGCGCAGGGAAAATTGTCAGCCCTATATAAATACCTCAAATGAATGAATAAATACGTAAATGCAATCAGTAAAATCTCTGACATTGTAACAAGTTCATGTCATTTTTAATAGTTAATTTTGGTATCTTTAAAACTTCAGTTTTCAATAAAATAATACCTGGCATGCATGGTGTGAAATGATACACATTGCTTTAGTAAATAAAATGTCATCCAGTTAGGCTTGACATGTACTTTAAAGTGATATTAAAGTCAAAAAGTTTTTAAGCCATTTCAAATCCTGATTACAATACTAACAGTGGATGCTGCTTCTTGTTTAAAGCAGAATTCTGGGCAAATAAAATGTATCACTTACAGTGAGGCTACCCCTGGAATTGCAAGGGTTAAGTGCTTGTTTTTTCTAGGGCGATAAAAAAAAAAAGTTATAATCACCGGATCTCCTACACCACTCCCTTCAGTCTGTCTCCTCCTCTACTCCAGCGATGGTATGTCCCTCTGCATCCTGACATTCTATACACTGTATAGCTGTACAGAATGTGATGACTCAAGACCGCTGCTGTGAGGGGGGGACGAGGCTGAAGGGACCGGTACCGATAAGAGCAAGCCGAGATTGTGGTTCAGGTGAGTATAGCTTTTTTTTTTTAGCTCCCTACACAAAACAAGCAATTCGAGGGCAGCCCCACTGTAAAGGTGCCCATACACCTTACGACCATCACAAGACTTTGGTCTTGCGATGGTCGTAAGCTTTTTAAAAGCTCGTACGATCTGCCCATCTTGGACAGGCAGATCGTACTTGCGATCATGACCGCAATGAGAGGCGGGCTTCCGACCACTGCAAATTTGCGATCATGACCGCAATGAGAGGCGGGCTTCCGATCACTGCAAACGGGCAGTGTGCGCACACCGGCCCGTTCGGCAGCTGTCGAACAACCGGGCCACTAACCCGCCGAAAATCGTACTATTCTCGGCGGGTTTTCAAGCCTGCTTGTTCGACGGAAGACGTGCGACCGTACAGTAGAAATGGTTGCACGCCTTCCATACACTGTACGATTATCGTACGATCGCGGGATTTCCTGAGATTCTCATACGAGAATCGTACAGTGTATGGGCACCTTTAGGGTTAAGATTTTATTTGCCTTGAATTCTTCTTTAAAAGTTTTAGTTTCCTGCAGAATCAGCTAGTGCTCTGAGCCTGATATCCTGTATTGGGGAGTTGCCTTTCCCTTGCAGGGTCCTATGGATCACCCTTACGCTCGCGCTAGTAAGCAGTGTGTGTCTCTACAAACTCACTGACACAGCAAGGCCAGCTGCTTCCCATTAGATGCTGCCAGTCAGATGCTCTAGTTCAGCGGTCGCCAACCAGTGGTCCGCGAGAAAATGTTGGTGGTCCGCACAGAGCCGGCGCTAGGCAGCCGCACCTGCTACCCCACACTCTGCCGCACCTGCATACACTCTCAGTACAGTGTGGACGTGGACCACACTGATGTGTGTGCCCAATGCCCACAGGAGACTGCAGGATGCCTTCAGAGTCCGTTGGCATCGTCTGCCCGTACTGATGCTGTGTGAGGCGGACGGACGACTGGATGACGCCGCCCGCCGGCTGAAGAACTGCAAAAAGAATAAGCAGGCAGCCAATGAGGCACGGCACCGCTCTGAGCATGACGCCCACCTCCTCCAGGCTCCACCCCCTCCTGCAGATGAGACGGATATGGAGCTGTAAGGTAAGCGAGAAGCCATTTTCTGGAATAATTGCACACACACACACAGTTATTAAAATCTGTCCTTCAGTAAAAAGTATTTACTCTGGTTAATTTGCTTAGCTAACAGACTGTTAGGAAAGTAAATTACCAGAGTAAATACTTTTTGCTCAAGTATAGAGTTTTAAAACCAGTTAGTAACAGGTAACAGATTTTGATAATTTTTGCTGTGATGGTCCATGCTAAAAAAAACAGCAATTGGTATTGAGGCTGATTTACTAAAATATTTCACTTTAGATACCCAATGCATATAAATAAATATATTTATATATATATATATGAGGAAACAAAGAATATGAGACTATACAGTTGTGTGAAAACGTGTTGGCTCCCTTCCTGATTTTTCATTGTGTTGCACGTTTGTCACACTTTAATGTTTCAGATCATCAAACAAATTTAGATATTAGTCAAAGATAACTAAAGTAAGCACAACATGCAGTTTTTAAAAGGAAGGTTTTTATTATTAAGAGAAAATAAATTCAAACCCACATGGCCCTGTGTGAAAAAGTGTTTGCCGCCCCCCCTCCCCCCTCAAAACATAACTTAACTCTGGTTTATCACACCTGAGCTCTATTTCTTTTACAAAACAATGAAAAATCAGGAAGGGGGCCAACACTTTCACACAACTGTGTGTGTATATATATTTTTTTTAAATTTTTTTTTATTCATATTAGTGGTTTGCGGGATTTAAAATTATGAATTTAGTGGTCCATGAGGTCCGAAAGGTTGGCGACCGCTGCTCTAGTTGCCTGAACTTATAGGAATGAGTGGTCGAGTAAAAATTTGGCGATGTGGCTGCTTGCACACATTTGTAAGTATTGGGCTAGTCTCTCCACCGGCAAGAACTGAAGATGGTCACTGGTGGCTGCCTTTCTGAATAAAACGTGAAGCCTGGCCCTACTTAGCTTCCAACCTCCCCGAGTCTACATATTGTCCCTTTAATGTGATGGCAAGTCATTAACTAAAAGGATGCTTGGGGGCAGGGCTAGCTAAACCTTTTTTAAGTGACACTAATTTCAGGAGTTAAATCTTTAATAATTAAAGCACTTTAATGCATTTTAACAAAGATGTAGCTTATTTGTGTATCACTCGGCTGTAGATTCTCAAATCCAGTGTCGGACTGCAATCTCAATACAAATTAGTAAACGTAATGCGAGGTGTAGTCCATCACGGGAGTGACCTTGGAGCGGTGGCTACTTTACAACACACACAGGGACCATGGGAAGCAATAGTAGCCACCCTCCAGAAGGAAGAACAGTGTCAGCACCAATTCAGAGATGATTTGAGGATCTACAGCCGAGTGATACACAAATAAGATACATTTCTGTTACTATTTCCTGTACTTGAATGTATTTGGTTTAACTCCCGAGCGTAGTGCAACTTTAAGCTGCTTATATCTCTGGATGGAGTGATTTATTTTACCAGAGGGATTTCACAGAAGGTAAATCACCGCTTATGGATTTTTTTAACCATATACTGGGTTTGAATTGGAGTCTAGGCAAAAGCAATAGCATGTATAACAAGTGTTCATTATTTACAAACATTTTATTATCCATGCAGTTAGGTATACAGTGTATATTCTTAACTTGCGTTTCTTTACTTTAAACTTTGAGGTTTTGATCTGCTAAAACTTTATTAGGGCATTTACAAAATGGTTTATTAACCTCTTGCCAGACAGCTCACACATATATGTGCCAGCAAGAAGGTGGACTGGCCTGGCCACTACATATATATGCTCACTGCGCACTCCCAGCACAGTGACAGAGTTGTCACAATCTACTCAAAAGTTGTCATACTTAAAAAGTTCAGATTA